ATGTAGTTATATCTAAAATATATAAGGGAAACTACGTAAGCTTCAATTTCTCCAAGTTGTAGAAAGCAATGCGAATTGTGAAGGAATATTTTGTTGGTAGAGAGTAATGATTTGAATGAAATATAAATTAATCTGAATTATACGATCCGAACACTGAATATATGCTATAGTTTTTAGATGAAAAAAAATAGTAAATATGATTTCGAGATCGAGATATGAGGGAATAAGTAGATGACATAGAAATTTTATACCTGAAATCGGTAAGGATAGGAATTTTTTTGGTAATTTTTGGTATCGTTCGTTGACATAGTTGAATATCGCATCTGCAGCTACGAAAACAATGAAATTCGGTGCAGGTTTCAAAGTTGTTGATAATTTTTTCTTTTGTTATTTTATTCAAACACAATCAAAATCAAATCAAACCGAACCAAACCAATCCAATCTAACTTCTCAACATTTCCATGCTTTCTTTAAAGGTACTAAAAATTAAATAAACATAAAAACATCATCCAAGTGTCATCATGGCCCCGCAAATAACGATAGGATAGCGAGATTGGGCCTTCAAATGTCATTTTCGACCCGTACAGAGTCGACCCAACGATGAAACCCATGAATACGTGATGTTTTGGATTCCAAAACTGACTCGACGCATCTATTATCGTCGCCAATCGGAGGAATCCAAATCCCAACTAATTCGATGGAGGAGAAGCTCACATCCAAAGACCGTGACGGTTTAGTCACCAGAGACAACAACAGACAACGACGATGGAAGTGCCTTTACTTCCCTGTATGTAGCGAGACGAAGCTTTTTTTTTAATATATACTTCCTCCGTTTTTTTATATAAAATGTTTTAGCATTTTCACACAAATTAAAAAATCTAGTTTAATGCATATTCATTGTTAGTTAAGTTTTAATTTATTAATTAATGTGAGGGTAAAAAAAATTATTTATCATAAAACATCTTATAATTAAAAACAAAAACAAAAGTATATATTATTTCGCGTTCATTAGACAATATATTTCAGTTTCGCGATCTGATATAAGATTTTCCGATTAACCTGAGCGCCTGCACTGTCTGTTAATCGGGAGGTCAGTGACAAAATGTTTCTGATCAGTTTTTTTGGACCCGTATGTTCTAAAACAAAAGGTTCATACCGGAGAACATGTGAATTTTGGTATGTAAGTAATGTATGAATTGGTACATTGAGGTGCTTAATGCGCGTTTGTGGGAATGTAGTGGAGGAGAAAGACAAGAGAGGTAAAGAAGGCGAATCAATGTAAGACAACACAGTATTCTCTGTTTTCTTCAAGTTGGGAGAACACTGTTCAAACCAAGTCCACCCCTTGTTCTGGTGCTAAGTTCTCCCTGAGAGCCTTTGCCCGTTCTTGCTTTGAAAACTTGGTTGTATCGGTAAGCATCTTTGTCTTGAATGTTATTACTGTGTCTTGAATAATACCTCACTCACCTTCATTCTTGTGTTTCCTCAGAGAGTAGTGTTGAGCTATGTTTGATCGCGTCGGCTCTCCGAAGTTACATCCTGATTTTCCCACAAGTAAGCTTAGTCCGTGATTTTGTAGCATGTGCTTTATAGTAGTAATCTTATTTCAGTGATTAGTCCAAACGTGGATTTAGTGTGTTTATTTTACTAAGTTAGCTTTTCTTGTGCATCACGCATCTCAGTGTTAGTCCTTAGATCTTGAGCTCTCTACGGCCTTTTTCAATATAAAGAATTAGTGAGGTACATACTTACATTTCGTTTTGGGAAATAAATTTTCACTTTTTGTTTTTGTTTTTATGGCGTTAGCAAAACTTTGCATTGAAATACAAATTTTTAAAAGAAGAATCAGTTCTTGCTCTGTTCTTGATCCGTATCATTTTTCTTTTTAACCGAAAGGGACACGCTTATAAATACAGATACTCCACATTCAGTTAAACTCTCCTGACCTAACTTCTTATAATCGTCATCGCCAACGGACATCACCGAAGGCATTCGACGATCAAGAACCTGAGACTTCTCCGAGTCAGTCAAATCTCCGAGTCGAAATCTGAAGAATGGCGACTGAAGATCTCAGACAGCTGCAAAGATTCGATCGTCACATCGAGCAAGTGCTTTTTACCGCTCATTGCACCGCGTGGAGCGAGAAAAAGGTAAACGCGAAATCGTTCTGTAGTTTCTACTCTTCTAGGTTAGTTTATTGTTTACGCTTTATCGTTTTTGGATTAAACAATGGTGAAGATTCTCGATTTCTTTACTCGAAAGTCGAATCAGAATTTTTGGATTCATCTTATATGTACCGTACATCGAAAGTAGAAATCCAGGATTTCACTATCGTTATGATTTTTTTTTTGAATAGAGTTTTAATGCCGTATCGTTACACGGGTTGTTCTTCGCACTTTCGCTCGGATTCCTCCCATTGCTGTATTATCTCTTTAAGTTGTTGTTGAATTTAACGATTAGTCATGAATCATGATGCTTTATGTGTAAGCGATTCTTATTTTTCTCAAACAATTGGGTTCTGCGTCCACGATCAAGAATCTCATTTTGTTTCTTCTTATTCTTTCTTTTATTATCTCTTTTATTGATATATTGCTTATGATACATCTGTTAAGAGGATCTTCTTCATTTTCTGACTTTTATGGAGTTTGTTTTATGCTTAATATGTAACAAATCATTAGATGTTTAAAGCAAGAAACTCTTATTTCTTGTGACAAGCTAAGGGTTGTTTTTCCTAAAAAATGTGATTTTTCTACTCCGATTCCAAGAAATTGATGCCCATTTGTTTCTTTATTATTATTATTTTTTTAATTTAACGGTTTCTTAATCTGCATATACTATAAGTATAAGTTGTCATATTTTCTTTAATTCTTGTTCTTTTCTTTTTCAGTTTGACGAAATCCTAGACGGCTTACTGTTTATTGTCAAACGGACAATTGAGCCTACATTTCAGATAATTCTCAAGCCTGCCGCTTTGCCAGGTTAGTATTCAATTTTCTAGTTGGTAGTTAATTTTCGATATTACTATTTGCTTATTTTTCTTTCGAAAGTAAATATCTCTTCTTAAACTACGTTAAGATTCCTTTTAAAATGTGTCATTCTTTTTTTTGTGTGTGTGTTGAAAATGGATATATATATATATATATATATATATATAAAATGTGTCATTCTAAAGAAATACTTTTGCAACAATAACGTTTGTTAAAATTACAATATAATTATGGTACTCTAGATTTGGTGTTATTATTATTTACGTTAAGATTACGTTTGCAACGTAAGTTTAATGACACGACTTCAGAATAAGAAGTGTCACTAAACTTATTCCATATAAAATTGTATCGCTGCAAGTGTTGTTCGTTTACACATGTCACCTAAATTTACGTTGACGAATCATATAATAAGTCTGTTTTTAGGAAAGGTTCAAGTTATTTCAGATGTTTTTCTTTTCAGTGAATATATTTGTTATTTCTTTAGTTCATACGAACACTAGTGTCAAATAGTAATCTACACGTTGCTTCCGTATAAGTGATATCATTATTTCTTACAAGACTAGTTGTGTAAATTAGTGATGGGCTAATTTTATTTTTGTTTTCTAAAAAAAAATTATTTTAATTTTGCAGTGGGCACATATTTTGAATATCGGCGTAATTAGTGATGGGCTAATTTTATTTTTGTTTTTTTTCAAATTTTTTATTTTATTTTAATTTTGCAGTGGGCACGGATTCTGAATATTGGCGTTTCATTTGGGAGGAAGACTCTGATCAAATTGGTGGTTTTGAAGTGGAGACATTTTTGTTGCCAGGTCTGAGTGGGTTTTTAGTCTTCTTCAATAATATTGAAGACTCCAAACGTGCAGCACAGTGCTTAAAAGGGTAACGAAACAGTTTTTTTGAATAGTTTGGTGATATCTTTCATTATTTAGACTCTCTGATAGAGTTTTACTAGCATATATATATATATATATATAGGTTACAGGAGGAGCAGGAGGTTGGTGCAAATACTGAAGTTCAACTTACTATTCCGACGACAGAAGTAGCTTCTAGTGGCACACCAGAGGACAACACGTGGGACCAAAGAGTCTATCTACAAAACTCGCGGGTCATAATGGCGATGATTGCGGTTCTTCTTGCTACGATTGTGCTGACCGTTGGACTCAACCCACCATCCATATTATCCTCTCGAAGTTGTGGTTGAAGATAGTTTTTCAGATCACATTCTGGATTGGGGCTGTTTTCTCCTTCACTGCGTTGTTGCTCCTTGGTGTAGTGACACCTACATCTTTTGAGATGCAGTCACGCATATTCAAGTTTGCGTTCATGGCAATCGAGATTGCCATGATATGTGTCGCTGTGGCATTTGGTGCAATAACCGTATCTATCGCAAGCCATCTGATCGCTAACATAGTTGGGGGCTTCATTGCTGTGGGAGGGATCCTCATCTTTTCCTACTTCACCTCGAGTAGAATGCGAGACTTGATTTTCAGAGTCACCAGTTTTCGTCTGTCTCAGCATGTAAATAACAATCCATACTGGCTCACTAGCTTTTAGGTTTAGGTTTTGACCAACCTTGTGGTTTTGTGTTTAGGTTTCTTCAATTGTTTGGGTTCTTGTGGAATATGAAAATGTAAAGAACAGAACCAAAAACATAATCTAAGGGGATTTTCCATTTCACAAATTTATCATTTGCTTGAATTATGCTTATAATTATTCACTTTTTATTCCTACTTTTTTCTTTAGTCAAATCTTTTATATTCATTTAATTTATTCATTCTTCTTTTTATTTCTATTTTTTATCAAAAGGTGAACTACTTGAAATATCTATATATTGACTGCTGGTCAAATGATGGGGATAGAATTAAAACTAGTTAGCATTTTTCGTTAAACTAGTTTATCAATTAATATGTAAGGATCTAGTACGATAAGGATGATTTTTTTAAGGAAAAATAACCTACGAATCATTGAAAATAAATGTGACAATAACAAAGCCTAAAACCATTGCGCTTTTCAAGGGAAAATCAACGCTCTAACATCTCTTGAATATTCATCTTTCTCATCGAAGAATTTACTGTGAATCTCTTTAAGTAATTCAAGAGCAGTTGCCAACCCACCATCCTCGTCGCCTTCATCCCCTCTCACTTCCGCATAAGACTTTGGATCATTCTTGTCAATGCCTAAAACGAACGTTTTCTTGAAAAAATCCACAAGTTTCATGATCCAAACATTGTTTTTGACACGCTTGAAATAGTGGTAAGGCGTGATCTGCAGCAGGTTTCTTAAGTCATCGGGCCACCATTGCCCGTGCTTATCGTCTAGGATGACAAGACCACGCTCTTCAGCCAAGACGAGATCTAGATTCTTCATCTCGCTATCTCTGTTTGTGATGATGCGTTTCTCAAAGTAAGTTCCGTGAGGATCAAGAAACGATATCACTTCTTGGGCATGTTCAGGGTTGCAAAGCTCGAACACATACATCTTGAACATCTTGTTTGCTTCACGTAGAAATTCGTGAACGAATGGTCGTAGCTTACACAAAGCCTCACCTTGATCTGGGAAGGCTTTGTTTGATCGCCACAAATCAGACCTTGAGTTGACTTCTCCGGTTAGATGTTTCTCTCCGTCTGAGAGCAATGAAATTTGGCGGGAGTCGTAGAGTGTGCCTTGTAGACCAAGGACTAAAGTAAGCCTCTTCTCTTTTAGAGACTTGATCCAAACATGGCGTTTCATAGCCCCCACAAATTCGGGACGCAACTCCAGACCATTGACGAGGTAATTGAAAGGTATGAGAGCATGGCGTCGAGTGTCCACCGCCGATCTGCATTGGCTACAGAATCCATGTCGAACAATATCATGAACACAAGCCATTGTTGAACCCTAATTTTAACGATTGGCAGATATATATAAGTCGTCACCTCCCGAGTCGGATAAAGTTGTTATTTTTACACCTTCATGTTAATGATGAAAATAATGCTGATTTAGTATCTATAAAAAATAGAGTGTATATTCGAGATTAGTTCTCTACTTTATATTTTCTTTCTAAAATCACGTGGAAAAAAAACATTTTACCTGAAGTCCTGAAACTCCGTACCGGATAAATATCAAAATTAAAGAGCAAAAATTCTTTTTGACTAATCTATTTTTTTTAAGGAATGTTAAATTATTTATATTCACACCAAATTTTTTTTTGTATTACAACAAGTGCATCATTTTCACTTTGTATCGGTTTTTTTTGTTTGTTTGTAAACAAAAACAATATTGACATGAGAATCTTCAAAACTAATCTTAGTTATTTCTCATTTCCTTAATATTTTTCGATTGGCTTAGATTTAAATGCAACAAACTAGCAAATCAATGGTGTAGATTTAAAAGCAACAAACTAGCAAATCAATGGTTTATTAGATATAGGGTAAACGAACTGATCAGCAAACTTTGAAATAACTAAACACTCTTTAAAAAATAAATCAAAGTACGTGTTACAAAGAAAACAGCACGAAAATTAGATTTTTTAAAAAGAAAAACATAAATCCATTAGAGGTAATTATGTTAATTTCGCGGCGTAGAAGATGCGGGACAGGAGAGGACTCACGTCTTGATATCCTCTATTAAAGAACAACTCATGAAGGCCCTTTAAGGATGTCAAGACTTTCAACAACAGTCTATCGTTATCGTGACAGCTTTCCTCTTTCTTTCTCTTTAACTCCAAGTCCACAACTTTGTTATCTCCTTTCAGAGACATATTCTTGAGGAAACTAACAGTTTTTGCTAGGACCCCATCCTCGTTGCTGCTTTCTTTGAAATACTCGTACTTGGACATCACAATCAGGTTATGGTGGTCTCGTGTCCTCCACAATCTATGCTCACAGTCCAAGATAACAACCCCACGTGGTTCCGCCAAAACAAGTTCCAATGACTTCAAAGAACCGGCGCTGTCTCTACTTGTAATGATTCGATTCCCAAAGTATATCATATGCGGATCGAGCAACTTCACCACTTTCTCCGCATGACCAGGGCCATAGTTTGTGAACACATGCATGGTGAAAAACTCTTTTGCTTCCCTCAAGAATTCACGGACGAAAGGTCGAAACTTCACCAATACATCACTTGAATAGAAACTCTCCTTGGGGAGACGAAACAGATCGTCTCTTGATCCCGAACCAGCCTCTTTGAGCAAATCATACTTGTCAATATCGGAGAGTTTCGACACACTGATGCTATCGATGAGGGTGTGTTCTAAGCTAAGAACGAAGTGAAGTTTCCTTTGTCCCAACCCGATCCTCAACTTCTGTTGCTTAGTGGCCGCCTCGAACTCGGGGCTCATCCGTAAATACTTGGCGATGTAATTGAAAGCTCGAGCACATTCCCATATATCAAGGAAATATCCGCATCGGCAACACATACGGTCTTGATACATCCGATGAGGACAAACATCGTAAAGATGAGTCTTTCTTGCGACCCTCATATTCGCGTAGTACGATTTCACTCGAGATCTGCATCGACAACAGACTTGACCTTTACCATGAACAACCCAGTGCTTGCATGGAGCCTCCATCGATATTATCAGATTCCTCCACGAAGGATTTCTTCTATTTATCAGTGTATATTATTAGTTCATTAAACCCTAATAGATCGATACTTCACATCCAGCCAGATGATCATTCTGTTACGTAAATCCCGAGAAAATAGAGTAAAATACAATACTCCAAAAAAAATATAGGATTTTGGTTAATTCATTAAATAACCAAGTATTTATATGCTTTTTGTACCTGAGTTAATCTTTATGGGAGGCGATTCGAGCTTATCAATAAGATGATTTACGTATTAAACAAGGAACAAAGAACGGCGTCGTTCGCTATACTTACAACAACAGAGTCTCGGTACGGTTTAACAAGAAACCAAACCGGATAGAAACGAAGCCACATCCCCTGATTGACACCGTATCTTTGACCGGGTCAAATTCCCGATTAATCGGAGATTTGAATATCTCAGTTATCTCAGCCGTACAAACTCTCCTCACCTAGCATCTTCGGGATATCATCACGAACCGGAGAAGGCGACGGCGTGTAAAACGGCGGCGAAGCACATGGAGTAGAGAACGGCGTCGTTCTGTCGTGATCATAGTCACAAGAATCAGCCTCGTCGTCGTTTATATCCCTCACGACAAAACCATCTTCCAATTCGTCATCCTTCATGTGATCGTCCGTTGATACGCTTCCACGTGGTTCGATCTCAGCCGTTCGATGATCGGTCTCGCTAGTACAGTCTTCAGCGATGGTAAACAGAGTCTCGGAAGGGCCGCAAAGTAGATTCTCTCCCCTGATTGACCACTTTGATGCCACGTCATCGATCGGCGGTGCGGCTGGTGGGAGCGGCGGAGCGGTGGCGGATCCTACTCGGAACTGTTTGTTCTCGAGACAGAAGAGGAAGAAGTAAAGAAGCTCTTTCGACGGCGGTGGTGTTGCCGTCGGATCACCGCCGCGGGAGGAGAACGCGTCGAGTTCTGATCCCGTGATACTCCGACGACGAAACCGGCGTTTCCACCACAGAACGTAGGCGAGCTGGGCCGCGACTGCGATTAGACAAAACACAAATACAGCGACGAGTACGGTTGCGGTTTGGCTCAGGCTCATTTCGAGATCGCGAGACAGAGTATTATTAAAAACTTCGTCGTTTCGCTGTCGTAATTATGGATTTGTGAGTTTAGAGATTAGAAGAGAAACAACTTTGTACATTGTTACAAATTATTAGGCAGTTGAGGTGTCACTATCGGAAAAGAGTTGCCGAGTAGGTTCCGGTTAGAAAGATCATTAATAGTCAAAGCATTTGGATTTCTAAATTTTATAGTTTTCTTTTCTTCCTCTTTAAATACACAAATGATGCTTCTTCACTCGTGAATTAGTAGCGAGAGTGCATCACGTTCAATGACTGTGATTCAACAAGTAGAGCTTTGGGCCAATTTGATTATTATAAAAGCCCAAATGATTATCAACTAACATCTCAACGGCCCGTTCTATGATTAACATCAATAATATTTGTTTCATATGCATATAGTCAGATGGTATAAAATTCTTTTTTCTTTTTCTTTTTAGCTCAAGGATGCACCACACAATTATCTAGATCTCAAATACGTATGTAGTACAAACTAGAATCTGTATTTGAATTCTAGGAATTGTACTCATAACATGGCTTTGAATTATTCGAATTCTTCTTTGAAGATTTATGCAAATGAGCTCTAGGAAATGTTGTGAAGAGCCAGAGATATCATCAGGGCCCTTGATACGTTAGTAAATGTTTTGTACTTTTTATTTTTCTTATTTAACTAATAAAAAGTTAAAAATCAAAAGCTACCAAGAGGAGAAAAAGTTAGTGTGTTTTTTTATTGCTTTTTTAAAGAGAAAAAGCGAATTATGTTGAGATCAAAGTTTAGGCCTCTTGCAAAGTTTAATGACTAAATGCCCATCACAAGGCTCTTAAAAGCTTAAAAACTCCCAAAAGCAGAGAGATAGAATTTAGCTTTTTACTCTCTCTTTTTTCTCTTCTGCTTTAAAAGGGTCACCCACTTTCTGCAATTCTTTGTAAATAAATTAATTATATACTTTTCCAAAATCATGCTTAACTTTATTTTCCTTCCTGCTTTTGAGGATAAACTTTAGATTCCATGCATGAATTGATGGACATATTTACACACATATAATATGCATTGTTCTAATTTTCAGATATACTAATGTGGATATCTTCGTGTGCGTACACATGAGCTGAAGGGTATGAATGTATGATTCACATAATCATATAGCCATTTACCGACAAATCTGTGTATATCAATTTTTCTTCTTAATAATAGATTATAGATAGAGTGAGTTTTGTCGTCTGCATAACATTTGATTCTATTATTTTGAACTTACTGGTAGAGGTATATTGGAAGGTTGAGTATAAGAAGGAAAAAAAACAGATTCATAGATACCCATAATTTAAATTATAATCATCTGATTCATTTTCTAGTTTGATCATATGATTCATTTTCTAGTTTGATCAAATATCATATAGTTCATTTATCAGAAACGACTATAAAATCCAATTCTCATAATGATTTTTTTTAAAGTGCTCATAGTTGTTTATGTAAATACAGTATTCCATTTTTATATATATAAAAAAATGCAGTATTCCATTAAAACTAGTTACTACAAGTTTACTAAATTTATAAAAGAATTTAAATCGAATATGGATAAATATTCACGAGCACGATTTTTATGTGGTTATTCGATATAATAAATATTCAGATCATATATGTATTAACATAAACAACTCGTTTGGATACAAATTAAGTACAAATATTTTCAAGAGTGTTCCGTTCTTTGTCCACCACCCTATACAACATACGAAAGCGAAAAGGTCGCCTTAATTTCGAGTTTATGAAAGGTACACGCAGATCACATTCACAAAAGTAATCCATACATATTCTAATCCCCGGTCCAAGGGATATTAAGAGCGATAATATCTAAAACTTCTGAGATTTATAAGAATTAAACTTGTAAAGGCAAAATAGAAGAAGAGAAAAGCAGTTTAAGATTCTAAGGTGGTGGCTTCTTCCTTTCTCTCGGGGAAAAATAAAAGAAAAGATGAAATGAAACAGAGAGGCAATAAAGTTTGTGGAGATCTTTAATATCAATCAAGCTGTCTTGGATTCTAAAGGAAACAATGACCAATTTTGTATGCTTTATGTTTAGACTCATTAAGGGTTATTATAGCTATGTTTTGTCTAGTTTATTCTGTCCCTCTCATTTAGATGATATCTTTTTTCGTTGAATGTACAACAATTATTGAAAAAACTTACAAAATCCCTTAAATATCTGTATTTTTATAGTTAATCATCGAACAACAACAGTAAAATGATGGAGACAGATAATGAAACTGATTGACTTTGTATTAAAAAGATAAAATATCAAATGTTTTGAAACAAAAATAAAATGGTAAAACATCACTTATCATGAAATAGATGAATTTTTATTAAAGAATTGTCATAGTTAACAACAATATTTCTTAAAAGGAGAATGAGAATAAAATGCTTTATATTTATGATAAATGTGACCATGTATTTGCATGTTCTTTCTTCTAGCTTGAAGATTCTTTCTTCTAGCTTAAGTCTAGTTTATCTTCTTCTTTTTTGTTATAAATATCGTGTGACAAACCTGATTTTTTTAAATTATCAAAGATCCGAGCTTTGGGCTATTCTAAGCATATATGTTAATTTTCAAATAAAAGAACATTTGCAACTTGCATGTCGATCGATTTTTTTTTTTTTTTTTGAATAAAAAGGGCTTTCACATGGCGATCGATTGAACAAAATCCAATATATATATATATATAGAGAGAGAGAGAAATAGAAGAACGATATTAACAACCATATTTACGATTTAAGTACTCTATCGTTCTTAATGATTCTAGCAGTAAAAAAACATACATAAAACCGGCAAGATAAACTAAAACATATGCAGGACCGGTCATAGGTTAAGCCACCCAAGCAAAGAATTAGAGCAGTAATATTTTAAGAGCATCATCTTAAAATATGTTCATTATTAAGATTGGTTATTTAGAGATATTTTCTTTAAATATTTTATTTATTAGGATTAATTCTCTGTTAATGTGATAATATATAAATAAAATTTTAATTTTCTTATAATATTAATGTTTGTTAAGTTTTTGTTAGCAATTTTATGGGTTTTTATTAATAAACATACTAATTAAGTTTAATATTATGTTTATTAATTAAATTCTAAAAATAAAAGATTATTATATAAACATGAGTATCAATACCAAATATTAATACCAGAAAAAATGAAGGATTGATATACAAACACTTAAATTACTTGTTGCATTTATTGACTATTTTGGTATTGGACCGATCGAATTACAAATTATTTGTGATGTGCGGTATGAGAAAAGAAACTGAATGAATTAGTTTGTTATTGATTAAGATAAGTATGATTGAAAAACTCGATTATGTGAGTTTAATCAATAATTTTGCAAACAAAATGTAAATAATACTATTTTTTTTTAACATAATTTTTTTTACTGTTTTTATTTTATTTTTTATAAATTATTTATGAATTAAAATTGTTTTTTTTAATGAAGTTTTAACTATATTTTTTTTTCTTTTCTATTTTTTCGTAATATAAAATACAATATATGAAAATTTATAATTTTAAATTTGCATAGAGCATGAAAAATCATTGGACCGGCAGTGAACATATGTTAACCTAAAAATATACGATTCTTTACGGCGGCCAAAATCCTATCCAACAGTCCATCAAAGTGAATAACATGGTCGAACTATTTCTCAAAACAAAGAAAAAACAACAAAAAGTCACTTGATGTATCGACAAAATTTTTATATATATCACTTGGTAATTCCGTTAGTTCAATCCAAATTATATGGTAATTTTTCTGCCATTTTTTCCCCTTATTCGGTAATTTTCTGTCATTTTTCCACGAACATCAATTATCATTTACGACCATAATATGATAATATTACACTAAGAACAAAAAAAAATTCTAAAGTTTCCCTTACCTCTATCCTTCTAGAAAGTTCCTAAGCCAAAAAAATAATAAAAAAAAAAAATCTACAGCTACACGTTTAACCCAAAGTATTGTCCCAATGAAAGAGAAATTCGTAAGGAAACAAAGAAAACATGATGTAATCCGAATGATCAAGTTCATGTTCATAAACCGGGCCATGCTACATGCACACATGCATGATGTTATGTTGATGAACACTTGAAATGAAACTGTGCATCTACCGCTTCGAGCAAGCCAATCTCATCACATGACTCTTCTTCACAAACGTCATCATCAAGAGAGAGGTTGAGATCGAGTGCAACACAATTAGCAACGTTCTTCTCTTCCGATCGATCTGAACCGTCAGAGTTAACCGGAGGAGAACAAGCTCTTGATCTTGAGCTGAATCTTTCACAACTCAAGATCACAATCGCGTCTCTAAGCGAAGCTTCTTCACCGCTCGAATTACGAACTCTTCCTCTCTCAATAGCTCTCTTAAACCCCATTTGAGATAAATAATCAGCTTGCTCTATATCTTCCACTAAGAACACTCTGTTCGGATCTAACGAAACAGCTTCCGAGAATCTCTCGATGTAGCTCAAGCTCTGTTCATCTCTCGACCTCTTGTTCCTCAAATCGTCAGCGGATTCCGCTCTTTTCGATGAGAAGCTGCTCAAGCAGATCGAGACGAAGCTGTTTTGAGATCCAAAGAGAACTTTAGCCAATTCTCTAGCGATCTTCTCTTTGGCCTCTGCGTCAAGACCTTGGAAGAACATCCAAGTCTCGTTTTTCATATTATCGTGTCCGTTGATCTTCCTCGTAGTCGATCCTGATCTGCATTTCAAGACTGTTTTCGCTATCTCCGTGATTATATCCTTCTGCCATGGTACCTTGCTTTCCAAGGCATCACATAGTGTTGCTAGGTTTTCAGCATTCATCTCTTTAAACCTGGAAGAGGCATGTTCTACCTCCATTGCATCGCTCGAAGAGGCTGCTGAGTTAATTGTCGAATTAGGATTCGAAGAGAAAACCTCTGCTTTTGGTTCGCTGTCATGTTCGGGAATAAACAATCTTAAGTGGGACGCATCAGGGGTCACGGAATGATGATGACGAAGCTTGTTTGTCTCGATCACGGGCCAGTCACCGTTGGTTTGACAATGATGGAGAGTACTCGAAAGTTGAATGGAACCGGAAAAGGAAGAAGTAGGAGAAGAGAGTGTGAGTGTTTTTAGAGATGGTCTCTTGTGGATTGAAGCGCAGATTGAGTTCCATTTCACCACAAGGTCCTTGATAGAATCTGAATCCTGCCATGTCCAAGAATCATATATACCTTATAAGAAGGAAACAAAAATTGTGAAATTGATTAATGTTTATACAACTCACGGTGTGGCTATTCTGATTCTCCTTCTTGTACTGCTGAAGCCATGCAGGTAAAACTGCGGTGGTTACATTGCTATCACTATTGCTGCTGCATTGTAAGAATCGAGCTTCTGCCTCAAACTTGACAGAACATTCCTCACAGAAACTAAGCTGCTCCTCTAATGGATGTTGCAGAGGTAAGTTCTCTGATTTCTTGACTTCACGCTCACTGATTTGATACAGAACGGGTGATTAGCTAAGAGTGTTAAACTTGGATTAAATCTTAAACTCAAACTCAAACTCAAAATGACGTAACTAATTTTCTCCAACCTTTCTTTAGTTTTTTATTCCACAAAAAAAGTAGATAAATATTACATATAAAAACAAGAGCAATAGAAAAAAGGTACAAAAGGATGCACGTTGTTTCACCGTTCTTTTAGACGATCACCAAATAAAGCAAAAACACTATAGGTGAAATTGTCCTTTTCGAAAAAGAGACAAAATAGTTAGATATATCCAACAAATTTAAAATAAAAAAATAAACCCATTTCTAATCTCTAGACTTTATTGATTGCACATTCAAAAGGAGAAAACTTTTTACCTCTCGGAGACGAGACTCAAACGAAGGCTACTAGTCGCCGGAATAGTGAGAGTAGTGAGACACCAAAGGGACTCAAGCGAAGGTTGACCAGACTTGCATCTCACGTAAGTCTGTGAAGTCGCAAGACCCATCAACCAAAACCTCCCATGATCTCCCATGACAAACCCACGAGCCAACTTCCCAATCTCCATTATCATATGCTCCACAACACAATAGTTGTTGTTATACACTGAAGAGCTTTTGGTTCTAGACTCTACGAACCAGTTAAGATCTCCCAGATTTAGGATCACCCCTTTTCCCACACAGCTCCTCACAAGTGTCTCCAACTCCTCTAGCTTATGCTCCACATCGGATCTACTCGGTTGCCCGAACGATGAGAACGATAAAGTTATAAACTTTACGTCTTTCAAAGCTTCAGGCACGTCTTTTTTGTCAACTTTCTCCATCACCGTTCTCACAACTTTGTCAACAGTTGCTAAACATTCTCCCACGATCACGAAATTTCTCCTCTTTTTGTCGACTAGATTATCTATAACGTTCATTACATCCTCGTTCCTGACAGGAGTTAACAACTTTCCCTCTTTGGGTTTACTCGAGGAGGTTGTCTTGGAGCAAACCTCTAAAGAAACAGCTTGCTCGACCTTGGTCTTCACTTGAGGACTTGAGAAACCAGCTTCTCTCATCACTCTACTCACGCTAGGATCATCGAGGATAGATATTATAAGCTGCTCCACTTCAATCTTGACTGCTAAAATCGGTTGCTGCTGGCTCTCGATGGATCCACGCCGTTGGTGAGCTTGTGCGCGTTTGAAAGCTGCACCGAGAGCGTTGGAGATAGAAGGGAAAGGGGAAGTTGGAACCCCTAACATAGGACTCCCCGTGGAGGTCGGGAGGCGGTTTAGGGCCACGTTGAAGCAGAGCTCGAGGGCTCTGCATTGAAGAGGGTGAGTGTGAGATTGGAGACAAGCTGTTCTAAGTAAACCCGTGTGAGCAGAGAGCATGGTGCTAGCGACATGGAGAGGTGTGACCTGAGCATGTCCTCTTCTTCTAGCCAAGCCCATGGCCTGCTTCACCACGTTTGCAGCCTCAGGCGTGAGGGCTTGCTCCACCGTGCAGCCTCCAGCTCTCATGGTGATAAAACACCTTAAAGGAACACAAGGTGAGGTAGTACTAGTACTGAGAAGTAAGAGGTCTACGGTAAAGGCTTCAAGTGTCTTGGCTTCATTCCATTTATCTTAGACAACGAAAGCACCCAAAGAAGAAGGATATATTCACTGTTTCTATATGGAAGGTGGGGCTAAGGCTTAAACCTAAGAGATAGAGAGATCAAGGGAAGAGATGAAAAGAAAGAGGGAGAGGAAGAAAAGGTCTTTGGTCTTCAAATATATGAGGAAGGATGAGGAGGAAATGTGTATGCTTTTCTTGTGAGAGAGGCAAAATTCTGGGGGTTTTTTTAGGGTCCAAAGTGGATTTTGTAGTGCAAAGTGGAATGCATGTGATGACAAAGCAGTATCAAAAGGCAAAGGTAACTCAGCTTTGCCCTTATATTCTTTTCTTTCTCAAATTTCACAAAAAAATATATAGAAATAAAGATGTAATGGGTACTGCAGCTAATTAAGTGGGTCTCTCTCTTTTCTGCAAAGTGTATCACTTATTTAGAAAAGAACCTAATTAAAGATGCAAATCATCATTCACTTATATAATATACAACTATTAAATAATAGTAGCCCCAATAACACTTGCAGAAAATATTTGGGATATAATCACTCTTTCCTTTTAGCACCTTGAAGCTACTACTAGCCACCCATGTCCCAACTCTTTTTTCAGTCGTCTGTCTCTTAATTTATAAGATCCAGTCCAGTAAGCTAAACTCAGATCACATGTAACAGGAGCAACATAAACATGGGAATGAACAGATTTTTCTTTAATTTGTTTTTTATATATTCTCAGCCAAATATGTCACAATAAACATAGTTTTCTAAGAATATTTTTGGTTTTACTCAAGCTAAACATAGTTTAATAAGTGGTATCACATGTAATCAATTATGATTGAATGTTGAATAGATTATCCTACCTCATTCTCAAGTAACAGAATTTTTCAATATACTAGAAAATTGAAATGCCAAATTCTGTTCCAAAAGATAATCACTCCAATCGTAAAACGATAACTAAGTAGTTTTTGACCAACTCTGTGATGAAGACTATGTTTTCCTTAGTCAACTAGTAACACGTGGAATAATAGTTAAAAATTAGAAATTTACATAGTTTTTTAAATGTTATCAAAGTTTATTTATTTTTACCATCAAAACTGTAATTATGGACGGGAAGAACAGAGAAGGATCACTAACTTGCTCGTCTTTGTAGGTTTTTAAAATTTTGCATGGAATTTAGAAACCCAACTCCCTATAATAAACAGTAAAAAGCATATCAAACCATCTGACCCATTACTGACGTTATATATATGTATGCATCATTCGCTTTCGTTACTTTCATAAAAGTGTGTAGCTTTTGGACCATAAATTTCATTTTAAAAACGAGAGAGAAGAAGAAACGAAGGTGTTTTGAACAAGAAAAAGATTAAAAGAAAGCGCACAAGGCAGTCTCTTGGTGGGGACATTCTTCGATTGTAACACGACCAATCATTTTCATATGCCTAATGAAATCAAAGTTTCAGATCAAGTAACAGGAACTCACAAATCAAATAAGGTTATTCAAGAACAAGAACACAAGATATGTTTATTCATAGAAGGAGAACTGCACATTCATTATTTTATTATTGCAACATATGGAGATAAGAAATTAAAGTTTGATTCTCGTACCACTAACCAACATGTCAAGCCATGCATTTATATCTTAACTTGATAACACTAAATATATACGCACACAAAGCTAAACAGATGCAGATGCCTATCAAATCTTTCAAGAATCCATTGAGAAAACAACACAAATTCATTTACTGTTAAATGGATGCCCCATAATCTAAACAGTGATTAAGGAATGATAAAATCAATGAACAAAAATAAATGATTCCGCGTATGGATTATTCAAACGTGAGATCATTGCAGTAATTGGTACAAGGAGCTTTACCTATTATACTTCTACTTTGATGAAAACATGTCTCTCTCTCTCTCACATGAAGCATGCCACTGCATAGAAAGAAGAGAAAAATGCACCACCATTCAACTTGCCTAGGAATCTTCAATAAGATTTAGACACTTTGGGTGAGAGAATCATATAAGCTATATTCCCACTATGGATATGTATGTCCTAAAAGACTAATAAAATAGTAAATAAATTCATATTTCATATGATGAAAAATTGAAGAATAGAGAATAATATTACAATATCCTCACAAGAAACAAGAAATCTTCCTTTCATTCCCCAATCATCTTTTTTTACAGCTTTTTACTTGTTTTTATGTAAGCCTTCACCTGAAAGCCACTATTCACTGCAACAAGTACTATTACACTCACTTCCTCTCCCAATGCTTCTACAAAAGAAGCTAAATTATCGTTTACCCATGCATACCTGTATATATCAACTCAAAATGAGGAAAACACAAGTATGTTGTGCCATAGAACAAAGAGAGAAATGATCCTACAATCATTATTCAGGAAAAGCAAGTGAACGTTATGAAACCAAACATGATTATATATATGTGCATGTAATATAAGAGGATACAAAATTATCTTGAACGTTAGGTCACTAGTCACAAGAGAGCTCTGATTCCTTCTATTTATGATGAATGCTAACAGGACAGTATATTTCAAACGTATAAGAATGCACAGACCAATAGTTTTCTACCCTTCGTTCAAATTTTCGGGTTTTCATGAGGTTAAACAGATGTGGATATAAATGCTTAGTTACAGAGGACTTGTGGGACCAAATAAGAAAGTTGTGAGAATAAACACAAACTCATCAACTGTTTTCTTCCTCGCTGTCTTCGTTTAAGACAGAAAAAAAGAAGGAAAGGAGCTTTGTTTATTAGCTTAGACCCAAAAGAGATCCAAAGGGAGACCAAAATCATTTGAACGCAAAAGTGTTTTGAATGATAAGAGGAGCAAAGGAATATAGATGGTTACTTCAGGCACACCCAATCAACCCTTTTCTCCTTTAATAAAAATTAGCAGCTTTGTTTGCCCTAACTAAAAGATTCAAAACTCTACCACAAAAAGAAAAGAAACATCTATTTTGCAGAACCAGTCCTTTCGAGAAAGTGTATGACCACAACAGTCAAATGTGAATGCTTTAAGAAAGATCAGACCCCAGATGATTCTAAAGCACTTGCGTTTACGAGAAGAACAGAATGTGAAAACATCCAATCTCTCCAGCCCACTTGCTAAAGATTTAGGTAATGTAGACATCAACTTTTGAAGAACTTGGCCTTTTATCAAAACAACACAGAATATTTTGGCATCAGATTTTAAATTACTTAGCTGAGTATTTGCTTGTTATACGTTAGAGACAAATACAAATTCGCCTATTGTTTTTTTCCACGCTGTCCGCGTTTAACAAAGGAGAAAAAAGAAAGAAAAAGATTTGTTTATGAGCTTAGACCCAAATAATTTGAAAGCAAAAGTGTTTTGAACGAAAGAAAGCAAAGGAATATAGATAGTTTCTTCTGGTACACCCAATCAAACCTTTTCTCTAATAATAATCAAAATAAACTAACTTTGTTTTGCCCCAACAAACACATTCAACCTCAGTCACGAAAAAAGTCGTTTGTGTAAACCAATCCTTTCAAGAAAGTGTGTGATGGTCAAAATGTGAATGCTTTAGCCAGGACCAGACCCCAGATGATTCCAAAGCACTTCTGTTCACGACAAAAAAAAATACTAACATCGTAAATCCGATCAGCCTCTCCATCCCACTGGATAAAGTTTTGAGTCTATGTAACATCAGATATGAAAAAAGTTGGCCTTGAACAAACTGTTTTGCATCATAATCCAAAAATGAATAAAGTATTATTGGCTAGTCTTGATCAGTTAGATTGAAACTGATTTTGAATATTGCATGAATTGTAAAAGTCATACGTGTTCTGCATGACTTTTCTCAGTGGTTTCTATCAAATCAAACCCTTTTCCAGGAATTTTCATGGGATCACATACAATAGAAGAGCCTCTAGAATTCTTTAAAACAATTTCAAAATAAGCCAGTCTTATCACATGATCAAGTGTTAAAAAAGCAAAACATGGGATTATCTACTCAAAAGGGGCTCCCAATTTGTTTTTGTTTTTGTTTTTAACTTTCTGAGCATTCAAAATAAGCATCTTTATTCTCCTGGGTGTGTCCATGTGGAAGAAAAAAAAAACGAATAGAAGCAGCAAAGAGAGAGACAGATAAATATGGGAATAGTTTAAGGCATAATTCTCCTTTGGATGGCCTAACTTTAAGAAAGAAAGAGATAAACTTTAAAGATTAAAGGAGGAATGGAGAAAAGTTGTCCTAATTTTGACATGACAGCCTTCTTAATCTAATGTTATGAACTTTATTCACAGAGCATGTTTATTTATTCATCAAAAAAAAACAATTTTTTTTTGCCTCGCATAACAACAATACTCAATACTCCCCCACAATCTAAAAGAAAGGTTCGCTTTGGTACAAATATATTTGAGTCTTACTTAAGAATCTAAAGCGGTGGTATATATTCCTCATCACTTGTTCCCTAGATTTTCCAAGAGTTTAAGCTACAGAGCCGCACAAGTATTATATCATATCATATCATCGGACATATATATATGTGAATCCCTCAAGAAAATCGAGCATATGCACTTGTGCAGTGAACATGTGTTGGGAAAGTCCTATCAGAAGAAACACCCAAGCTTTTGTGATATGACAACATAAATGAAAGTTCCTACAAGTCAACAACTATTGCAGTGGTACTAGCCAATGCTTATGATGGTCATATGACTCATATTAAACATCAAAAACATAAAAAAAAAAAATCGATGAATTGCTATGTTTCATCATGATCACGTTAAGTTTCGTCATAAACCTGAACATTGTGGTGGAGTAAAAGGGTACAAAAATTCCACGATTTCAATGTTATAATGGATCTTCATGATCAGAAAGAAAGAACGTAGGGTTTGTAAATACCCTTGTAAATATGAAAATTGTTACAAATTCAAGAAAAAAGGGTTGAAAATAATTACTTGAGTAGAGAAAATTAAAACCGCTGATTCCTATAATCTTCTGGGCGAATGCCGGAGAAATACGCCGGCGACGGCTCGATCTGGTCAGAAGGAGGAACCCTTGCTTGGCCGTTTCGCTTGTCTGATCATCCGCGGGCGAGCAAAATAAACTGAAGCCCAATACACATACGCTTTCATTGAGCCCACAAGTTAAGGCCCATTAATGGTCTTTTGTAGAGCCACTAACTTTTGAAGCTTCCAAATGAACTTTCTATATTTCTTCTGGATGGAGAGACCAGAGCAGACCAGACCACAAGTTGAATTGTTTTCACACCTTTTGCCTTGGAATTTAAACATTTAAGAGGATAATATATCTTATTTAATGCATTAAATCTTTTTGAAACATTTTTTTTTTTAGGAACAGAAGGAGTATATTGTAATGATTTTACTGAATTATTGTAAGAAAACTGGATTTAAAGCATTTTTGTAATAGTATTGTCATTTTGTCACCATTTGAATTTTCCATATAATAAAGAACGTATATGAGTTGTCGACAAAACAAATATTCTACTTCGAAACATCTGTATTTTTGTTGGATTTTATTATTATTTATGACAGATTTTATTACAATGGTCATGGTGTCATGGTCTGAAAGCTCGGACACTTATCTTCTGTTCCTCTGGACCAGTTTCGGATGAACGAGATCCATCCAGCTGCATTTTGGCTATACATTGCCCCACGTTTTTAGTCGGTCAGCCGCATCTAAGTCCGTAACAGTTTTTTATAAGCTTTTTAATGAAAAATTAAATGACATTCAGAAAAAAGTTTATCTGAAAATGACTGTTTCAGCATTTCTAAGCTGATGTAAAATGTTGTAAAAAAAGCCTGAGTATTTTTAATACTTCAGTCAGTTAGAATTTACTAGAAAGCAATCCTTTTAGTGAATTAATCACATTGATTACTCTGGTCGACAAACAAACAAAAAAATCACATTGATTACACTGACCAAACAAATTACACTGATCGCGCAATAACATAAAACAATCGGAACCTCATTATTAACAAAATATCTTAATCTATGAACTTTTTGTGAGCTGGCATGATTAGCAGATATCACTTTTCTTTTTTTAAGAAAGTAACTTAAGTATTTTTCTTTATCGCATTCATTGCTTTATTAGTGCATCGTCTCTTTTTTTTGCAATTCTCCAATTGCATTAAACCGGATCGAATTTATCCTGTGAACCGTTACCGGTACTGTAGTATCCTTACAAATATAGTATACATCTGAGAGCCACGTTGTATCCTTTTTCCTTGCCTGCAACTTCATACAAATTTATAAATATGATATTGATAGTGTGGTATGTATGTATATATAATATATCCATTGATAGAAAATGGGTTAAATGTTATGAATATATCCCAAGCTGCACCATCATATCTAATTATTCGAACTCTAGAAACTGAAAAAGAAAGTTCTACTTTTTCTTACTTTTTAGTACACATGGATACGTACTTGCACGTTTGTTTCACATCAATAACCACTCAACCTTTTTGTTAAAAAAATTTAAATATACAAATAATAAATTAGTGAATAGGTTTGGTTCATTTTTGTCAATAGACATCAACTTGGTAATGGTATCACTGTATTAGCATCCATTTTCTATTGTTTTCGATAATGCATACAGCCTTCCCTCACATGATAGTGTCCACAATTTTAGGATACAAATAATTTGAAACTTTTTTATTTTTACTACTCATAAAATATAAACATTTTTAACAGCCTTTTTTTTTTTTTTTGGAAAAGAAATTAAATCATAAAATTGATCTTTTCGTTTTGAAGTCAAATTTCCAAATTTACCCCTGGAAAACTCACGGGACGCACTTCTTCTTGGCGAACCCAAACCTGTCATTCTCCAAATCGTATTCCACGTGATAGTTCTGTTGCTGGAAACTCCCCAGAATTATCGCCGGACCGCTCCTTCCGCCGGAGGGACTGATGGTGGAATCGGAAACCACCGTTAGACAGACGTTATCAGTGCTCCCGACGAAGGTGAAGTAGTTAGACAACGGCAATTCCATTTTCGCTCCACCTTTGAACTCGAAGATTAACTCCGGCACCGTCACTGACTCCTTGCCGGAGATATTGAAGCACGGCCCAAGTCCGGTGACCTTCTCCAAGTCTTTGTCTCGGCTGTAATTCGACATCTGCGTCGCGAATTCCTCAGCAACGAGCTCGAAAGCGGGTCGATCCATGAAAGTGAATGTGGATCCGGAATCGACGATGGTTCCTCCGTTTCCGTCGGTTCCCGGAGCGAGGAACTTGTATGGAATCTTCACGTGCTTGCTTCCGACGAAGATTCGCCGGAGATTGATGTAGTAGTACTCGAGAAAAGCTTTGTTGGAGACATTGGGGTTGTTTCGGAACGGCGTATAGCTAAGACCCGGAGTCTTCGACCCGGTTTTATGACCCGAACCGGTATCCAGATCGAGATCGGTGCTCACGTTGGTATCGTCAAACCGACGGGAAACCAAACAATGCGAAAATCTCTTGAGATTCATCTGCGAAGGGAGCGATTCGGGTCCTCGCCCAAACCCGGCGATACCAGCGGGTTGTCGGTTTGATATGATAGAGCATCCGACGACGAAATCGGGCACGGTTAGATCCGGGAAATCAAGCTTCTCGGATAGCAAAACCCCAGCCGTTGATCCTAATCCGTATTGGAGAATGTACGGCGGACAACCGACGGTGCAGTTTCGGGTATTCGGGTCACATCCTTTGCATTGAACACTGGGTCCGTATAGAAACTGGCATTTCGGATTCTGACACCCGATGACCCGTGACGAGGTAGAGTTCTTGGGCAAAAATCTAGAGATCCGGGTCGGATCCAAACCGGAGAAATTGCAATCGGAGCAGAGATACCTCGAGGTACAAGGGAACCAAACGAGGCTGCTTCCGGTATCGAAGACGAAAGGGATTGTCTGCGACGGCGTACCGAAGCTGAGCGAGACGGAGTATCCACCGTAGCTTTTAGGAGAAAGAGGCGATTTCACGACGGCGGCGGATGCAGAGGCTGTGGAGGAGCCGGAGAGAGCATCTTCGTCGGGTTTAATGGAGCTGGGCTGTTTGAGCTGTTGGGCTCTGGCGATGGTGGAATCTGCGAGACGACGGAGAGAGAGGTAAGGGTCGTTGCGTAATTGGTCTGTGTGGTGGGAGAAAGGAGAGAGAGGTAATTTGACGGCGGAGACGACGGAGAGGAAGAAAAGGAAGAAAAAGAGAGGAGAAGAAGAAGAAGGAGAAGCCATTGTTGATTGTTTTGTGTTGCGCTGTTTTGGCTTGGTGGCTTATCGGTTAAGTAAGAGGAAGAAGAAGAAGACAAAGGAGTGAAAAGTGGAAAGAAGAACGACGAATGGCAAAAAAGTGGAGAATCATGTTCGATCTCTGTGACTTTCTTCTTCTTTTTATAAAATAAGATTTTCAATAATTAATAAATATGTTCGTCGTTACGAGGAAACTTACCACAACAAGTAACAAATACGTGGAAATGTATTTTTGTATGTCGAATGTCGACATGATTGTATTTATTGAAACATGCCAATTTGAACCGAATTTGTGATGTACATACATGGGATAGGTTTATAATATTCGCTATACAAAATACTGAAATCCAATATACTAATAGCTAATTACAGAACTATACAAAAAAACAAAAATTTAGAAGTATCGAAATCAGAATAGACCTCTTTTTAGTTAATTGGCTTGATGGGTTGGCCATGTGATACAAGTAGCTCTAAACCCATCTACAAATGTCATGTGATGCATATTCCATCAATGCATTATCTTCTCTTAACCAATTCACACGTTGCTATTGAATAAATTTTGTCAGGGATTTTTTAGGAAATGGATTTTTCTAGCCAGCTTTCATACTCTAATTCAGTATTTAAGACATTTACAATGTCTTTTATTCACCAATTAAACTAATCAATCGCGTCTGAATGTACACCTACACGTGTTATATATAGTAAGATCCAAACTATATCATAAGAGATTTGTAATTCCTTGCGTTTAGATTGATACGAATTTGAATAGATTATGAATTTTAATCAATCATTACATGAACCTCGACGCTAGGAATCAATTGACCAAACAAAGCACGTTGAATACAATAGGTGTGAGTAATCGACCACATGTATAATTTGTTGACCCTTATAAACTATGTGACATGACCTGGCAACCTGCATTAACCCAAAAAAAAACTTCAACTTTTTAAAGTGGCAACAGTGATAAAGAAATTTTTAATGGCTTCCTTTTGAACATATATAGTCACACATAACCATCTTTATGATGAATCAATAAGTCCATAATGCCATATAAGATTTTGACAATTATGAGTTTGTAACAAGTAAATCGATCGCCACACGTTCGATATATATTTGTTGTACAGCAGGAAAGCATATTTGCATAATTTCTTTTTATTATTATTACTATCAAAAAGTGGTATTTCTGTAAATTATGCGCATAACACATATGTAATTTAGTATTTGTTTCTTAGGAATTTTTTTAAGTTGTTTTTGTTTATGTAAACACGACCCCTCTAAACAGTTTTCAAAACTATTTTTGATTATATTATATTGTAGAAGTATTTTTGTTTAGTTCTTATACTATTTTTAGTTTTATCGTTTATAAGCCAGTTCAGCACAGCGGTAGTTTCGTATCGTCTATAAACATATTGAACTAATAATTTTTCTTATTTGGTAAAGCATCCGTTATTACTTAAAAAAAAAGTTTATACTATATATTAGAAAAGGCCGTTAGACACAGAAAGTGGCCAAGCCAGATAATAACCCTAGTTCCACAAGACTACAAATATGAAC